AGAGAGAGAGAGAGAAATTCTGCATTTCCGAATCTGGTGATCCATAAATCGTGATTTGCAAGGGATTTATGGGCCTCGAATTGCCAGATATATGGATCTCGTCCATATCCGAGTGACTTGTCGTTCAAGATCGCGCGATATTCGTCGTTAACTTATTACCGGGTGGAAATAATGCGCGAAGTTGTGGAAGCGTCGTTATTACCAGACATCGCGGCGAGACGTTAGTTTCGTGTCTCATCGTGCGGTTGACGTTTAATTCAAAATCTTGTGTTGCCCTCCCCCGGTCGTGACTCGAGCTTATTCACGCCTTTAGCCGCAACGCCCGCGCACTCATAAATCTCGGAAAACTTGCCGGTGGCTACGGGCTAACCACCTACCAATTAGCATCCTGAATTCGAGGGTGCGACCAAAAGTTTCCGATTTCCCTATTGTCGTTGCAGCGATACTCAGATACTGTCTCGCAGACCCTAATCTTAATAACAGATTCTTCGACAAGATCGAAATCAACTTTCCTTAAAGAAAACTATTTTAAATAAGGAAGCAGAATTATTTGTACGATGATTTTGTATTATTCAATAATTATTCTTCAAAGCCCCTCTGTCCTCCTTTTTATTCTCCTTCAAATCTATTTCTGCCGTTGAATATCTCGATTATCTCGAAATTTATTGTCGCCGCTGAGAAATTTTGAATTTTTTAAAAATTTTATCGTCAACTCTTGATTATATGTACTTCAATTTTATACTTCAAGATTAGAATACTTTAATAATAATTCTAACGAGATTTCTCTGATAAATTATATGTTGAATTCAGAGAAGCACCGACTTGAAATAATTCGAAGATGTTAGCAATCGAAGCGCCCAACAACTCGTAACGAATGTCCAGAGGGTGAGTGGTAAATGGCTGGCTACAAAACAGTGAGAGCTCCCCATGGGCTCGTCCTCGACAACGGCCGTCTGCAAAAACATTAATCACAAGTCGCTCGATGTTTGCACTGTCTATTTCAAAGCTTCTCCTGTGCACTTTGTCATCGATAGATCGTCGGTAAACATTTTCGAATTTACAACGGCTCGAATTTTAATCGAGGAACATAACATAAAAGTAGAACATAAAAATAACGATATATTAATTTTTTTCAGTTTTGAAAAATTTGATATAAAACAGACTATTTTTTTTATATAACATCAATTTTCTTTATATATTTAATTAATCATTCATTATAATCAATCACGACAGTCTTATTTTTCGACGTTACAAATAATTCCGTGATGTATACAATATTATATAATATTAATTTTATACATACATTGTATATTATTGAAACGTGACACATTACATATGTAAAATAGTAATTACAAAAAATATATATATATATTATATAAATATATATTTATTATACATATAATAAAAATGTTATAATTTTTTATTTTATCTTGAGTGGGATATACATCTTCTTTTTTTATTCTCGAAAAAAAATTATTATCATATATTTAGTTAGCGTTAATTTATGTTTATGAAATAACAAACGCTTTCTCGCGAGTGCTTTATGATCCGTGTATCATTATATAAGGATCTGGCGTGGAAATGGTACTAGCTAGTAGGAAATGACGATAACTAAATGTCAAGATTTATGCTGATTGTAACCATGTTTATCATGGGACGTAATTCTGATCCTATTTTTACCATTAGTATATTAAGTAAATATAATTAAGTTATTTATATTTCACTGATATTTTACTATTATACTTTACTACTTGTATCTAGTAATTTTGATGATCTAGAAGTAAACATTGGCAGCACAGATATATCTTTTTTAATGAGTTTCGGAACTCATCATTTGTATTAAATTTATTTGTATACCTTATGTCAAATATAGTTACATTAATTATTAAATAAAATATATACTTTTATAATCACTGTACATTAAATTATTAGTCACATGGTCATAAACCATTTATCTTTCATAACATCATCTTTTTTGCTTCTTTTTTTACCAGAGTTTGTAATTCTAATATCTGTTTTTCTAATCTTTTGGCTTTCTGCCGTAAACTTTTTACAATCTTCTTTTGCCGTGTGATCTTTTTGATTGCTACTTCCCAATAAATTTTAGCTTGCACTGGCGATGTAGAGATTTCTTCCCAACGAACATCATATAGGTATCTCTTATTCTTCTTTTCTTGTTCATTTGAGCTTTCTTGAGTGAGCGATACTCTACTGGAAATTAATTTTTTTATAAATTTAGTTTTTTCTTGTTGCAATGCTAAAATCATATTACATGTTATTTACCTTTCAGACAGTGGATTATCTCCTTCCATAGGTGATTCTGTAGTATCTGAAGTTTCAGCTTCAGTAGTCTCCATATATGAAATCACAGAATTTCTTGGCTGGTTTTCCTTAACAATTGTGTCTTGGCTATCCAAAATAGGATCATACCTGATCTCTTTATTGTTTAAACGAAGAGATGGTATTGCACCTTGCTTTAAATAGCGTTTATTTTCAACTAAATCGTATCTAAAGTCATTTTTCTTGAAGTGACGTGAGCATATCCGTGATGATTCAGTGACCTTCCTTTCCGCACCAATTGCAAACAACCATCTTTTAAATAATTTAGCTGATCTTGGGAATCTTGAATAAATGAATGTTTTGTGTCAAAAACAATACATAATTATTGCAAGAATAATACAGCATACTCACCTGAAAAGCGATATATCTGACGTTTTGCTTATTCGCTGTTTGCAACAGATACACACACGTATCATCGTACATATAAAAAGAGACTATTATTTACTTGGCAATGGAATTAGAAAACAAGATAATGATTATTTCAAGTGTCATGTTTTGATATCTAGCTCTAAATAAACTAATATAACCCGAACATAGAATGTAAACAATGCATAATTATTCATTCCGCGATAATGCCAAAAATATCTCTTGTACGTCTCTCCCTTATTTAGATTATATATCAAAATTATAAACTTATATATACATAAATATATTGTTTCTATTTGTAAATCAGTGGAATGACAGATCGATGCGAGTCTATTCGAGATAAGAGGTCTGTTCTTTATAACCGAACTAGTGTATCTCGTTGTATGTACTTAAAATGAGATAGAGATATACGTTATAACTGTGATAAAAATGAGAAAGAAAATCTAATTGCAATTCAACGTAGCATAGAGAACAGATCGTTTCGAGCATTTTCTTACCACGAAAGTTTGTAGATTAGCAACGGATGCACATATGTGTTAAAACTGGACTGTTAACTCGCATCAACACGTGACATGTGCAATTAATATGAGCATTCTGCGTCGATATCACAGGAGTGCGTTCAGAAATAACACCCAAGTGCACCCAGTATCATTTTATCTTTGTTTAACATTCGATGAATAATAAGGATAAAATGATACATTCAATGTTTCTGAACTCAGCCCTATACAATCATGAGTACTTCACTTTTGATCTCTATTTATTGCATCACGTCATCTCCATGTTAATAAGTAAAAAAAGCAGAAATGGTTATAAAAATAGTAAGAGTTTTACTTATGCTGTACTTATAACTGTTTACAACTTGTCTATATTTTACTAAGGCCTGTTCTACAATGCGTCGTGTGTCGCTGTCATAGATTGTGGACCGTAAGAATGGATCAATCACAATCAAGTATTCTCTTCACATTCGTTTGTGATTGATCAATTCTTATTTCTTATAATCTAATATGGCTTATTGTAGAATGCCACTAAGCAGAATAATTAGACCAATCACAGTCATTATTTCGTATACCGATAAGGAGAATAGGAAAGTTACTGATTAGTCAATTCCTTACGATTTTACGAATTACGAAACTGAAATTTTTTTGCATATAATGCCCTTAACCTACTTGTGAATGAATTTGCGTGATTTCCGCTCATACTGATTATACTGTTTTTAGAAGATAGTCATTATTTTTGGCGTCCAAAATTCATCGTTAAATAAAAATTTATAGTTAACGTGACATGTATTATACTTTTTAGGGCCTATCCAGACAAATTTGCATAGCAGCATAACCATATGCATAAGGAAAATTACCCAATCGCATTTTACATGTGTCTTTATGATAGAAATGCGATTGGATAATTTTTCTTATGCATATGATTATGCTGCTATGCAAGTTGTCTGGATAGGCCCTTATAGTAAATTTCAAAATACAATCCTTGTCTTTTGTCCAGTAAGCCTATTCTCTAACTTCTTAACGACAGTATCGTTATCATTACGTTGTCGTGCGCAGGTATAACATATAGAAAAAAAGCTGCGTAACGTAACGTATAACATACCTAGCTAGTGAAACTGTCGTTAAGAAGTTAGAGAATAGGCCTACAGGGATTCTGTACTTGCTTACTGACAATTATCGGTATCGTTAACTAATGACAGCCAATGACAGCCGTGCTTTTTTTCACGATCGCTTTTGCCATTGGCTATCGTTAGTTAACGACACCGACAGTTGTCAGTAAGCGAGTTACAGAATCTTGGCCCAGATATTTCTTAGTGTCGGTCCACAATAGGTGATTTAAGCTTTAAGTAAGAAATTGAAGTAAGAAATTGACCAATTATAATCGAATATGAAAAGAATAATTGATTATGATTGGTCAATTTCTTACGGTTTAAAGATTAAATACTTATTGTGGACCGACACTTATGTCAATGATGGGTTTAAAAAGAAATGCGTTGATTGGCTGAATTATTTTCAAGCGTTTCCTAGCAACGCCGCTCCCTGTGCAATCGGGGCGATAGGGAACAAGTTTCTCGTCCACGATGTATAAACTTTGCTGTTTGTCAATGTTTTAAGATGGCGGATGCGAACGAGAAGTTGCTGGCGGAACTCTTGAAAAAACCTGGGAACAACGTGTGCGCAGATTGCGGGGCTAAGAGTGAGTGCGTTCCGTAAAAAAATTCTATTTATCTAAACAGCCGCGGACGCATTCGATCGCGATTGTTTGCCTTAACCTCTTGACGTTAGTCGCGCGATGCGTCTAAATGTTTATTTTTCTTCGAGATATTAAATATTATGATTATATAATATAGAGTCACTTGAAGCTAGTCGCGGCATGTGACGCCTGATATTTGACATTGTGTGGCGTTGCGTGCTCCAGCGATAACTCGATTTAATCGTATTTTTAGCGAAATGTCAAAGCGTTGACAGTCGTCTCGATTACTTCAAATTATAGGCGATATCTTTTCTTATCTCTTCATATAATATTACGCGCTACTGTTGCGACACTATCATTGACTGTAATGTTGTTACATTTTAGATCCAGAATGGGCATCTTACAATATAGGCATATTTGTTTGCACAAGGTGTGCCGGTGTGCACAGGTCTATGGGAGCACATATTTCGAAAGTGAAGCACTTAAAGTTAGATAGGTGGGAGGATTCCCAGGTCAATAGGGTACGCGAAGTGGGTAATGCTGCCGCGAGATTACATTATGAGGAACGCGTACCTTCTTGTTACCGGAGACCAAGCCCAGATGCCCCACAGTGAGTTATCAACTTTATGTGGTTTTCCTGTTTTAGTCATCATCTTGTGATACATTTATTTGCATTATTAGTATTTGAATATGTTAATTCCCTAAAATATAACTTTATATATTTATATATCTGTTTTTTTTAAATCTTATTAAATTTTATTTTTACTATAATTTAGCGTAGCATTTTACTATTGTATTATTTTTTGATAACTAGATAGACTGATTTTATAAAAAGAGGTCAAAAGTCTTGTATGTTGTATCTGATTTTCAATAACATTTAAAGAAAAATTATCAATCCAAATTTAAAATTAATATTTGCTAGTTATATGTTATATCAATTTCTTTTAAACATGAAAGAAAGCTTTAAATTGACTACTTCATATCTATTGTGATATCTATTATACATTCATTAGCTTAATCATAATACTTGTCATAATGACTGTTCCTATTTAAATATAGATTATAAAATGCTCAATATTCAAAATTTAATTATGAAAATTGTTAGAGTTTTAGTCGAACAATGGATAAGAGCAAAATATGAAAGGGAGGAATTTTGTCATCCCGAAAGACAAAATCACTATGTGTCAGGATTTATGGAAGGATTTTTAATGAAACGCGGAAAGGAAGATTCCCGTTACCATCCCCGTAAATTTGTGCTCTGTGAAGCAGATGATACCCTCAAATATCATGTTAAAGAAAATAAGGTAATTTGAATGAGATTGTTATTACAGAAATACAGAAATCCGAGAATGCAAATATATAAATTTCACTTTTGCTTCAAGGAACCAAAAGCTGTTCTAAGGATATCAGAATTAAACGTAGCATTTGTGCCACTTAAAACTGGCAATCAGAATAGTCTTCAACTGTCTTTTATGAAAGATGGCACAACGAGACATATCTACGTGTACCACGAAGATCCGGAAGTCATCACAAATTGGTATCTCGCCATCAGATGTGCGAAACTACATCGTTTACAGGTGGCGTATCCAGGTGCAAGTGAGAATGAATTATTATCACAACTCACGAGAGATTTCCCGCGCGAAGGCTTTCTCTGGAAAACTGGTCCAAAGCATACAGACGCTTATAAAAAGAGATGGTTTACATTGGATGGTAGGAAACTCATGTATCATGATGATCCTATGGTACATATTATAATTTTTATTTATCTAACTATTTTGTATTATTTGAAATATCTATATCGTTTTCTTGTCTCATTTTTTAAGGACGCACATCCGAAAGGCGAAATCTTTCTTGGTCATAGTTCTGAAGGTTTCGCGGTAAAGACAGGCGTACCGCCAGGTGCTAGAGATCAAGGATTTTCGTTTACTCTCGAAACACCTGATAGGACTTATCTGCTCTCTGCGCAAAGCGATGAGGACAGATCGCAATGGATTAATGTGATTCAAAAAGTAATAGATAAACCGCTAACGCCACAGGACGCGACCGGTAAGCCGGTAACCGGAACGTATGCAAACTCTAACCACAGGAAATATGTATGTACACGTTGGTTTTCATTTACAGTAGCGGCAAGACTCGTAAGAAAACGCACAACAAGCGGAACAATGAATATATTTTCGTCCACGAGATAGGGCTGGATACCTCTTAGACGTCTTTCATAATTATTCATCGATAATCGTACGATCGAATCATATTGTCGAGATAAATAAATATATGACTCAGCATACACGCGAAATATACATGTGTAGCTTCGGGTTCTTTACTCATTCTTGTTGCCGTTGAGTCATGTATTTAACTTGCGAACGGTTAATGTAGTTTGCATAGAAACATATGCATAAGACTGCTCGAAAATGTTGATCGACGCGAATAAATTGCAAGCACCGCTTCTCGATAACATTCTTGCGTTGGGAACAGTTTGTGTCGCTTACTGTCAGAAGGAGTAGGCAGGCAGTATCGTAACAATATTACAAAGAATTTTTACTTAGCAATAATATTGTGTGTGATACTTGTCTCTGATAGCGTTCATAGCACCGAAAGAAACTCTCTTCCAGAAGTTTGATCTAATTTGTTACGGAACAATTTATTGAACGGCAAGGCTGGCTTAGAATAGACATTACTTTAAAGTTCACTGATTCACAGTATTTCTTCTCTTTTTTATTTACTTGTTTAATATCAACTGATTTATTTAAACATCCGTCATTATAAAGCCGTAAGTGGTAACGCAATTTGTACATAAAAAATAAATTCTAAGGGCCTATCACGCCTCATTATCATTATTTCTTTGAAAGTAATAAGCTATGCCTATCAACACGTTACTCCCATAAATAAAACTACATTCGAAAAGAAAAATTCTAAACAGTAAACTGTCTACATGTGTGTCAATTGTGCATTAAATATTGTTTTGACATTTTTTTGAAATGTTTTATTGACAGCCAAAACAAAATATTGTATAAAAAATTTATAAAAAACTTTTATTCATTAACGAATATCTTATTAATAATTAATGCATTCTTCAGGTATATGCATTATATATGCATATGAAAAATGTCAATATATTATTTTATTTTCTGTTCCTGTTCGGAAGTGGGTACATTTTTCAAATAACACAAAATGTTAGCCCAACAAAAGGCAGCAATACTGACATACGTTACTCGAAAAGATGGTGGAATTAATATAAAGTTCACAAATTGCACTGGCAACCAATATCCACATGAAGTCTGAAAAAATAAAACAAAGTAATTTCTGCAATATATAATATTCTTATAATTCCTGTAATATATAGTTTTTAAACACAGAAACGAACCTGAAAAGTGTGCACGAATTTCATTTTGCATTCTCGAAGAACATCCGACTTGGCTTCCATTAAATTCATACCTACAAAATTGATAAAGAATATTATGGCTTATCGTGAAAGAATTAATGTTCATATAAACCATTCAAAGATACAAACTGATAAAAAACAAGATGAGCAACGGTGGTGTCAAGATAAATTGGTCCATGAAGAGCTTCTTTAGCACGATGCCTGTCGATTTTCCACTATAAAACGAGTCAAGCCATTTGTACCTGTTGTGAAAGTCTATATTAATTTTTAAATTTGAATGAACATTACATAATGTTACACAATTTAATGTGAACTTGTTGAAATACCATCCATGTAATATCGGTCCAGCCAGGAAACAACCATAAATCGCATATCTTTTTAACTGTGGCCAGTTGTAAGCCACTGAATTATCTTCTTTATCTATTAGATCCAACATTTCACACAGTCTTTGTATCTGAATTAATATCGGTCCTTTGGTATCAGAGAGAATTTCAGGCTCCACAGCAATCGGCTGTACTGGCTACAAAATTATGTTTTCATTAACATAAACAATATCATGGAATTCTCCGTGCTCGACGTAAAGGAGTCTCTTTAAGAATTTCACCTTGGACATCGTACTAAAACTCTGGCGAATAAACTCGGCGCTTGTATAGAAGGAACCGTATATCATCGAATTGAACAACAACGGTCTTTTCTGCATAGTACTACTCACAACCCGGAAAGCCTTCCTCAACGACATGCTTTTATTTTGTTACAGTCACGTCTCTTATCACTTATTTCACGTATTGTCAAGCAAATCAAATATTACTGTTACTATAATGTATTACTAATGCTGAAGAGCCTAAATGGATAGTACTACTTTGAAGAACGACATTGATACTGGCGTATGAAAGCCGCACCATTTAGACTCAATCACGTTCAATCATAACTCAACTACGTCAAATCATATTGCATCAACATCCTGATATTCTCTCTCTTTCTCTCTCTACATTCTTGTATACGTTATAATGGAAAAGAAATGCAATCATGATTTTTATACTTTATAAATTTTTTCTGTATATTTTTTTGAGTTAAAATTATATAATTACAAAAATTAATAATTTATAATTTGTAATAACACTAATTAGGCGTACAGGATTGCAGTTCCAAATGCAACCAACTTGTCCAGTCAGGAGATACTTTCTTTTCAAGGGTAATTTCTTGAAAAACTTTACTTCTTTCTACCTAAATTAAAATTTTATCATATAGTTATGTCTTAACATTAAACAACTTATAGGCTTATATTCATAATTTATTATATTTAAGATTATCTATAAAGATTAAATATAAATTTAAGATGACTATCATAGATTACACAAATATAAAGCTATATTATCATCTTAAAATATTATTTAAATCTTGAGATAAAAATAATTTCAATATGCCAACTTAATTTTTGAAAATTTTTAATTTATTATTTATCTTGAGCAAACATTAGATTATTAAGATGACCATTTCAGAAACTTTAAAAAGTGATTACACTGGGTTTTGTTCGCGATTAGTGATCTTCAACAGCAATTAGTAATCAAAATTCATTGTAATCAAAAACACTATATGATATTGATATTAAGCACTTAAAAATTTAATAATAAATTAAATGCAATAAAAAGTAACTTTGTTCAACTTACCTCATGGAAACCAAGTTTCTCAAACATTTTTATACTTATTGTATTGTTTAATTTGATCTTGGCACAGAATTTATTAACATTCAATGTTTCAGCACCTATCATAAAAGTGAATACAAATAAAGAAACATTCAATAATCAGAATTAAAACAAAACAAGATTAACTTGGTTTAAAATAATATAAAGTAATTGAATTAAATTATTTTTATATTGTTTTTAATCCATATTAATATTTAATCCATATATATATATATATATATATATATATATATATATAATCTATCTAACTCATATTATTATATTTTACTTTAATATAGATTCATACTATGCTTATAGCCTCATATAGCCTATCCTTTTATCTTATTTTTAGTCGAACAAACATTATATAATCAAATTACCATAGATCAACATTAAAATAACAGATTCCCAGCCTCTTCTTTTACCTCGATTAGCCTCGTCAGCTATCATAATCTCTATTTCAGCAATACATGATTTCCGAGAGTCATGAAAAAACAGATTCGTGTCCCCAATCATGGCATCTAAAATAAATTGATTAAAAGAAGATGATCAACCCAAGAAACATTGATGAAAAGCAACATACCTACTTCATTTTTAGTTGACAGATAGATGCTTTTATCCAGAACAATGAAAGTACATTCTGTAACATTAAATATCTTGAAGCTGTATGATATAAACCATTTAATGAGATATAAAGAAACATTAATATAATTATAAGAGTAAATAAAACAAAGATTCAGTGTTAATGCCCATATTAGCCCAGATAATTACTGTCTTCATCTTCCAACCATCGCTTCTGCATTTTGAATTCTTCCTTCAGTGTCAATGGCTCAGAGCTTGTCAAATATTGCAGCACAGGATTTTTCATCCATTCGTGATACCTGAACATCATCCATTATTTTGACTCAGCATAATTATCAATACATTTGATCGTTAACCCTCAGGAATTCAAGTCAAATCATATAATCTGAAATTTTCATCTCTATATCTTGAGTCACTTCATTTTTGATTGTGATAAAAGACAAATGTTATCTACAATTTAAAATGTGTTTACTTTGTTGATTAATCCCATTAAACCCTGAAAATTTATCGATCCGAAATGAATATGAGCGTAACTAAAAAATCTAGGTGAATTCCTGAGAATTAAATATTAAAAAGAAATTTATAAACAATACGAACTTTGTGACGTGCTTCTCTTGATATGGTACTAAAATAACATTTGTTCCATTGATACGAGTGTTTATGTTTTTCCTCATGGTTACCGACAAATATTAAACAACAAAGATTTAATTAAGAATTCATTTATATATTTTAATCACGGACTTAGGAATAAAGAGACGAAGTATAAGCTGGAGCAATGCTCGGAATTATATTAATCTTTCCCCCCCCCTTTTTTTTATGGGAGAACTCTAAATAAGATCGAATATAACCGAACACTTACGGAATTAGCCGAATTAGCGGACTGCTCCCTCTATGTTACTATCATATACCCCTTATAGAAAACTCTAGCACCCACCAGAATTTTTTACGATTTCACTTTTCAGATTTCAAGTGCAATTCTGTTCATGCATTTTTACATTACAGATTCCGAGCTAAAATTTAAATTTTCCTATTTATTAGATATGTCATATATGAATATACGGATATTCCCTTTATTTAGGAGGTGTTGAAAATATTCCGACTTGGAAATATCGATAAAAAGTTAAAAATTGAAAAACGGAATTATTCCGATCGGATAATAGAAGTCTAGAAATTCGTTTATCAACGTGGATTTACGGATCACGTGGTATAAACTGCCTTGACTCATTTGATTTTTCCAGAATAAGAATTTTAAAAATTCATCGAAATAAATCAATATTTTCAAGCGTTCCGACATAACGTTGCAGATACTTTCTTCACTTGTAGCTTTTCTTTCATTTCGAAATATCAATTGACTCTCTAGATTCTTCTCAGATACATATTTTCAGTTATTATTATTCACAGCATGTTTAGTGTCATTTTGTCTTTTTCTTTTTCTCTCCACTCTCTGCTTGAGTCCAGTCTCGGTTTCTTTTCTGCTTGAATTCATTCTCAGTTTCTTCTCTGCTTGTGTCTATTGTAATCTCTCTCGCCAAATGGAAGAATAGAATATATTTTTCCATCAGGTTCCCGCCTAAACCCGATAGCGATGCAAATTACCATTGGAATCAACGATGCCGTCGCCAACAGATGTCGCTCGTTACAACGAGCGATAGACGTACCGAGGATTTGTGTCATTAATCCGATATTAAGAATTACAATAAAATTTCTTTATTTCAGTATGAAAAAAGACATACACGTACTATCGGAAAAAAACTCGAAATTCTTAATAATTCTCGGAGAACAAGAGAAGTGCCGTTAACGGCTGTAATTAAAATAAAAGCTCGCTATCGTCAACGAGATACAGGTGCCTGCAGTACCGAGCCCGCCACAGCCTGGACCCGATGCCACTTACAGCGCCACATACTGGGCCTAAGCTCAATTACAGCTGTCACAATTGTCAATTTCATGGCGTGTATCAAGTTGTATTGTTTGACAGCATCGTGGAGAGCGTAAGAAGAGACGAGGACGTGAACGCGTTGAGGACAGCGGCATCGGGACGAAAAAGCGGAAAGAGAGGCGCGAACGGATATATCGCGCGCGGGTGAGTTCTATTTTGTATTTATATCACATGTAAGCCCCGATGACATTCGCGACCGCGTCGTCGGCCCGCGAAAGCGGCGCGGGAGAAGAGAGCGCGCGCGCACACCACGCATGCCGCATGGAGACGCGACGTTTCGCGCAAGGGGCGACCCGAGCGTGTTCCCGCGCGGGCACGTGCTCTCCGCATTTCCGCCCTTACCGCCTTTCCGCGTCGCGTGTTCGCTCGCCGACGTCGGGGTCGAATCGATGGCGACGACGAGGACGACGACGACGGCAGCGGTAACGCGAAATCACAATCGACGTGCGATCGGCGTGCCGACATTTGTTGACTTTTGACCGATTAATTGTATTTGACAGCTACTACTGTCAGCGACTGTAAACAACCGGCCAGCGGGGACTTCGGATCATCGGCACGTGTCAGTTATCAGGATGGAGCACCATCGGAGAGCCGGTGAGTGAAATAATCATTTTCCTCCGCTCGGTTTTATTAACGCGCTTTTTATTAAGCGGAGCGTGCGTAGCACGCGCGCGCGCGCGCGTCGGCATCGCCGTCCATTCGTATGTAATATTTCGCAGTAGCGAGACGCCGCCGCGAGCCTGGCCAATTGTGACGCGCCGTGGCACGTGGTAAGTTGAATTGAAGCACGATGCGCGGACACCGGCGGAATTGCAGGTTATTTGCAATAATTTTAATGCCACAATCCTTCAGCTTTCCCGCTACGGGGTTTACTCATCTCGCTGCAAGGAATTTCGTTCGATTATATCGATATAGTGGTACTTTTTTTTTCTTTTTTTTTTTTTCTAATATTTCCCCTCTTGAAAGTCGAGATCTCTTTTGTCAAAATTAGAGATACTTGTTACTGTCATTTTGTAAGGAGCAATGTCGCGTGCATCGGTTTAGCGTGCATCTCGTTTAGCAACGTCATCGTTTCGCGTCTCGCTCTGCGATTACTGCTTACTATTTTTTTTTAAATCTTTTTTTCATCGAATAGAGTGTCATTGGATACTGTTTAATGAAAGTTTGTTCAATCGTGTTAAAATGGTCTAATAAATACTTTTAGCTGTATTTGCACCAAGAAAAAAATTTGTTCCTCGATGGTGTCGCCCTTCAGGTACCTAATTTCGCGGGAAATATTTGTATACGTTACAGAAGAAAAGACCTGAGATCTTTAGCTGACTTGCACGGGTCGTCCTTTTTTTCTCTGGAGGAACACGGAAAGATCAAAAAGAACAGATTTAAGTCGCATTCCAAAATTTTGATTCTCTGGTAATCGGATTGCACAGAGAACGGAATAGTTTTGACAATAATTTTATATTTCCGAAATTTAAGTTCCTGCAACTAATTTTACTAATTTTAAAAGTAATAAAAACCAAACTTTAGTATTGAATATTATAAAAGTATAATAATATATATAAAGTGATACTGAAATTAATTGATAATAGCGACTCAAATTATATTAATTTCACAAATACATAGACTTCATACAAATATAATAATTACATTTTTTTAGTTTATAAATTATAAAAATTCTTGCAAAATATATATTTAATCAAAAATATTTTTCAATGAAACAATATTTGCAATTAATTGAACAGACTTAAAATTTAACTATATTATTAATTTGACAATTGTCATAGTTGTCAACTTAACTTATTTCGCTTTTGATTATGCATAACTTATTTTCACACATTGTTATTTACTAATTAATGAAACAAAAGGAGTGGTATATTTTACAAGTCGCTTCTGTCAATTGTAAATGCTTTATCGAAATATATTATCATTTTAATCTGTCTTGCAAAAATTTTTATTATGTATTTTTTCGCTGCTAACAGCATAATCTGAGTAGTAGTAATAGTCAACAGAAATCTTAAAATTAAGAATCAATCATATTCAATTGCTCAGCAAACAGGCTTAGCTGCTTTACCAGCTTGGGTAAAAACGTGTATGTCAATTCTTGGCATTCCTCTATCTGTGTGCGTGTGTGTGCGTGTGTGTGCGTGTGTGTGCGTGCGTGCGTGCTTTCTCTCTCTCTCTCTCTCTCTCTCTCTTTCTCTCTCTCTTTCTCACTTATCTATATACTTATTTATCTGAATATTATCGAAGAAGAAACATATCTTCGTTTTCTTAAGCCGTAATGTCGAACGATGTGCACATGCAGTAACGATAAACCGCGATGAATTACCATCATAATGCAATTGGGTCGTTTACGCTTATGCATTCATTTCATATGTGTACCTTTGTACCTGACTCTATTCACATTCAACCCAAACTTTTTGCTTCTGTTTGGCCTTTTACGCAAGATATGTAAAGTGTAAAGAAGGAAGGTTTACTAAGTATCGACGAATTCAATTTTTCCGATAATGCTAGTATCTTCTTCTCTATGAGGCAATAGATCTGTTCGTTTAGAGTTGTTTTCTTTTTTTACGAATTTTTTATCTTTTGGAATGACATAGTATTTATTCAATTAATTCAATATCGATTAATAGTATATATTATGACCTTAGACGCTTGAAAAAAAAAGGAAAGATATAAAAGTGAAACATAATAGAAAGTTTGACTAAATAATAGATAAATTTCAATCATTCTTACTTAATTACTTTTTAACGGACAAATTTTTTTATTCGTGTATTATCCGAATATTTAAATGTATTTTTCAAAATTTCAGAAACTTATTATTTAATTATAATTAAAAATTGCAAGCAATATCTGAATATTGGGCATTCGGATATCGAAATGATATAAAAAAATAACTTTAAATAACAACTTTGTTATACAGTTATATAGTTTATTGAGTTTTATAATGTTAAATAATGTGAAATATTTAAATGATATATTATGATATGTTTAACATTTTAAACATTAACGATTAAAATATTAATCGATTTTTTCTAAGCTCTCGGCATTATCTTACATTATTAAATAACTGGAAAATCACGTTTTATCTAAAATATTGGGTTAGTTTAGTTGAGTGCATTTTAAAAATACCTCCGAAATTCCACTTTTAATCTTAAGTGTCATTTAAATAGCTCATTACGAAGGGACGATTCTTCGATTTATCTTCTTGTTCGAAATTTTATCTAAAAATTTTTTTGAAATTACAAACACACATGCGTTTAAAGGCGCACGTGCATCGAAACCTCAATCGCGTATAGGAATTTATGTTTTCGTACAATACAATATATTTTATTGCATAAAATCAAAAGCTCGACACACACTCAAGAGCGAACAGACGGTAGTGAGGGAGGAGTGAGAAGAGTGGAAAGATTGTGCAGGAGTACAAAATCAAAAGCGCGAGACACAAGAGTGGACAGGCGGTAATAAGGAGGAGTAAAGTGAGAAGAGTGGAAAGAACGTGGAGGAGAAAGAGGGGAAGAAAGAGAACTGCAACTCGGAAGAATCTAGTCCGAGGTATAGTCCAAGATTAGCAGGGCCGTAAAGTGGGGCAGACGTGTTATCTAGCCCTGGTCATTGGCCAGTGGCGTCGGGAGAGGAGGGCGGAGAAAGAATTGCGTAACGTGTGATATAATAATTTACACCGAAGGAAAGAAAGACAGGAGAAAAGAGCTGCCATTCAGCTCGTATTCGTTTCGCGCGTCTTTTGCAGTCCGGCGCGATATGACGCGGGACAATTGCGAGAGGCCAGAAGAGTGGGACGCGCTATCAGTGTTACATAAGCACTCTGTGTGACGAGAGGTCCTTCTCTTTTCGCATCGTATCTTTAGTTTCCCCTCTTCCGCCCCTCCTTCGAGAAGGTGGGTCTGCGCAGTGGCGCAATCGGATGATCGAGCACCCCGG